TTTTTTTTTTTTTTTGAAGGAACGGTGGGGATCCTGCTCTTAGGAACCAGAGCACTGAGTTATCAAGCAAATCATTTAAACATGTGAACAGTTGCATCAGTGTCAATGTTTTAACTAAACATTGTTTGCCAGATTGGTATCTAAATTATCCACACCTGGATGAATCACACCTTGGGAAAAGACAGCAACATTATCTCTTCTAGTACTACAAGTCTAACCAGCCCATTACACCAGGTACCTGTCACAGTCTTACTACCAATAATTATTTCTGTTTAACAGCTTTTGTGTAGTGCAAAGCATATTCTACTCTTGATCCAAGATCTTGCTTAATTGCTAATATTTTAAAATATTTTTTTAAAAAATCAAAAGTTGAGAAACTTGAATATGGACGTTTGATTCTTTTGTCTACTCTTTGTAAACTCTATGAAATTTTATCCCAAACAAACTGTACTCGACTCTCCCCTTCTTAAAAACAAGATGGGCTTTGTTCTACCACAATTTTAGCAGCAACTTGTGTTATTTGTCGTGTTTATACAGACCACATTTCAGTATGAAGCTATCCCTACTGGATACTACAAGTGACAGACCTGAGCACCGGCATATGTCTGAGGTTTCATAAATAGCAATTTATACTTATTTGCATTTAAATTTCTCAGTTGACTTACAGTGTTAATTCTGCTAGGTTAGTACATTACTCCGAAGGCTGAAATTTAGTGAGGTATGTTGTGAAAGTGATTTCATTTATTTATACTTCTGTGCTACATGGCTAACTGTTCATACAACCCATGTTTACAGTTGTGTACCATCTAGCCTTTTGCCACTGGGTGACAGCCAAAGCATGAAAACAAAAGCCCTATTCAGGAAAAGAATTCCCTGCACTGCTATATGAATACCAAGTGAATTATGCAAATCAGAACAGGAGGAGATTAATAAAATGCTCTTTCTGACCTTCCTTATGTGTAAGGAAGGAAATATACAGAGGATCTTGAGGTAAATATCCCTGTAAGGGAACAGTAAGCACAGTAAATGCCGACTTCAACATTTAGCTGGAACACTTCATCGCAAAACTCAAACATCTTTGCAAGTTGTACAAATCTACATCACAGAATCAAAGAGAGCAGCAATTCTCTCAGTAAAAAGACAGTCATTTTCTTTGGGTTTGCAAAGGAATAAGAGGGGAGAAAGGGGCCCCGAAAAATCTAAGTTCATAAAAAGAATAATGGAGAGGGACAAAACAGATAAAATACAAAAAATACTCTACTTCAAAAATTTTCTAATTATTTTTCATGACAGTAAATGTGTACATTTCCTTTTAGAATTACTTTCTCTAGCTCAGGCTATTTATGATCTGACAAAGATATAACAGGGGAAGGCGAAACAGGTACCTGTCATACAGCACTTTAAAAAGGTGCTGTCTAATTTTGAATTTTAACTTTAATAAAAATCAACTTATTAAATGTTTAGGACTGATTCTCCCCAAAATGCAAAAGCTTTACAGTCTATATATTTCCTTAATGAACTACTTTTTATATATAGAACAGTTTACAGTAGGATGTAACTAACCAACAGCCCTGTGGAAAACAAAACATAAAACACCCTTTTAAGTGAGATTAGAATTTACTACATTTGTGCCAGAATTACTTTTTTTTTCTCAATATTTAAAATATTATGAATATGAATAGCTTACACCATATTTTCAGGTTCTGTCGCACAAACTCCCACTGCTTTGGCGACATTCACAAGTAGTGCCTGATAAGGTGCCCTAAGAAACTTCACTAGATGTGGTATTCCACCACATTCACGGATAATACTTTGATTTACTGGCTCTTGGCAACATTCTCCCAGTGCTCCGACAATATTTACAAGGACTTCTTCAGGCTGCTCAGGAAGCAGTCCTACCAAAGCTTCTACAACTTTATATTCCTGAAATCTAAAAGAGAGCAATAAAACCAAAGTTGTTATTTTCAGTATGTTACTGTTAGAATTTTATTTTTATAATTAAAGTATCATTATAAATGAAGTACAATATTTAATTTCTCTATGTAAATTATATTGTTGAAGAAACCACAATACAGGTAACCCACTCCAATCAGTTTTTGAAAGTGTGACATAAAGCATAATTTCTTGCTCTAAAATTTTTAATACTTTTTTCTAATTTAGCTATCTAGGAATCTACAGAGTAGTTTGACGGTTTTCTACAACTTGACCTGTTGGTGCAACATCTACAAATAGCTGAAATCATACTGGAAAACTGGCAAGTTACGTGGCATCCTAACCTCCAGTACTTTTTCCTGACATATTAAGACTACTTGTTTTATCAGACCTTCCTCCACCTCTCTGTATCATTCTCTGAGGGTACAGAGTTCTTGTTTGTTCTTTTGCCATAGTCCCTAGCTTCTGAAAGTGCCTACATGAGCTACAAAACACCTTGTATCTTCCAGGAATCTGTTGTACATGTGGCTTTTCCTTCATACAAAAAAAAAAGTATTTCTGAGATTTTGATAGCAGAAATAGAATTGTTTCAGTAAAAGTTGATCTTTCCAAGCTGGTTTATCAGTGTAACAATTGAAGTATTTGAGAAATGAGAAACTTTCATTTTTCATCATTCAAGCCTTTGCTTAAGAGGAATCTTCCTCTCTTTGTTCATTATAATTAGAAAGTATCCCTATAAATTTTCTTCAAGAGAAAAGAGCAGAATGAAAAAAGAGCTGTGAAACAAGCAAATAATTTAAAAAAATGTTTTTCTCTGGTTACTTTATCTGTGTCACATATCAACAGCTTCACGGATGGAATCGTGTGAGCTGGCTCTGCAATGGGCAGGATACACTGGGACAGAGCTGCTGCCTCGGGCCATCTTGTGTCCAGAAGCAGTACGGCTGCTTGCTCAAAAACCAGGATCAGCTGGACAGGCCCAGGCACCTGTATCAGCTCATTGCTGAGTCAGCACATGTCAGCAATGTACTCGGGGTGTAGGAAATAATGTAGAGAAGTTCAAAGATAATTAAGTGGCCCTGCAGAAACCAGCAGGGTTTTGTTAGTTCTAGCTTCATGCCAGACTCAAGCTCATCCCTTCAGATCTACTTAACGTGTTTTCGTATTGTCCTCCCTACCTGTCCTGTAGCACCCTCCCATCTCGAGTTTGGATAGGGTTTAGTCCTTCCGCACTACGTAATATACGAATTCAACTCAAGGTTGGAGCTGCGCCTGGCTAGTAACCTTTGTGGAGCGTCAAGCACTTGCCAAAGATACGCGAGTAGCCCAGCAAAAGTCTGTTTGCATTTGGACAGAATTATTTGCGACAGCTGTACTAATAAATAAAACAGGCGAGGGCTCATTCTCTAGTGCTGGGGACAAGAAGCACAACAGAGCAACCATATGGGTAAAGTGGGTAAAGTCTCTTGTCCTCACAATTCAGGGTGGCCTCACCCATTCTGCCTAATGGAAACAATCTGTTGCCTGCGCTGTTCCCAAGGTGAGTCTGGGCATTGTCTGGGACAGCACTTGCTGGCACAGGCCAAACTGTGTAAGGGACTGGGCTAGCAGTAAAACAGTACAGAAAATCAAAACACAGTGCCCAAACCCTGACAGATTTGGCCCTTTTTAATTTACTAGTGTAGAGAGAGCCATTCAGTCCATCTCATCATTGTCTCTGTGCAGATACCCAAAGCTCACAGAAAAGCAGCATACCTCCTTCTGAATAGCCAGGTTATGGTACAATCAAGAATGCAAAAAGCAGTAGGACAGCAATAAGTATGTAAAGACCATGGCTCTGTATTCCAGCAGTTTGGGGACTCATTTAAGACAGTAAAAAGCCAGACTGTAAACCCTTATTATTGGAATTCCTTGATTTTTATCCAGCAGTTGTATATCATATCTGCTTGTCCAGCAAAGTACACTAAAATCAGCGCTGCAGTAAGAAGTTACTTTACTGATACTCCTTCCAGCCTGTGAATCTTACATTCCTCTGTACAGAGCAGCATAACTTCAACACATACTTCAGTGGAGCAGGCTTTTTTCGTTGAGGTAAGGTGCGTGAATCTAATAAATGAACTTTAGATGAGGGGGTTGAATATTCTCAATCATTAAGCTATTCCATGAAAGGTGGAGGGTGCTAACTGCTCCTGTCACATTCTCAGATCACTCAGGATGCTGATACTGAGAGACTGTAGGTACCTCTGGTAAGACTCTAATCAGTTAATCCTACTAAATTAGACTGGTGTCCAGACTAAGCCACTTTTCTGAGCCCCTCCTGTAGTCAAGTAGAGAGGCATTTAGACTAATTATCCTACACTGCAGTATATTTCTGAAGTAGGTGGACCTAATGTGTATTAGAAATCTACCCCAGAATGAGGTCATTTGCTCTCTGCCTCTCTTGACATAAAACTTTAAAGCTAAGTTTGCTAACTATTCTCTCTACCATGCAGCAATGACTTGCCCACATGTCAAACATTTAGTATGTGCTAGTACACCTCCTGTCTCAGTGTCCTATATCTTAATTATTCTTTAGAGAAACCAATTGCCCCCACTGACTCTTAATATTCTAGGAACTTAACATAGTCTCCCCTGTGTCGTGATGAGGTCAGGTGGCAATTTTTTAAGTACTATAAAACCTATGCTGAAAGCCCAACTGATTATAAAGCACGTTTTTGGAGAACCATGACATAACAATTTTAAAAACAATAGAGGCCCATAACATCAGAACATGACAATATAATGAATATTTGTAAAACTTAATTTTTACTTTGACACATTTTCTCTACTGACTGCACATTTCCAGATTGCTCCTGTCACAGCTGCTAGAAGTTGTTTGTTTTCAGAGTTACCAAGCAGAACAGATAGTGGCTGTAGACCTCCATGCTGTCTAACCAGGTCACGTGTTTCTTTATCTTCTGCACACTATAAAAAAAATAAATATATATATATTATGCAAAATCTGTAAAATCCTGTCTTCAAAAGCTAGGTGTATTATGTTGTAACTAGTAAAAAGTAATACAGAAGAAAACATAAATATTTTATTAAAGTATCTGAATATGCTAACAGCACACTAGGAGTTTGACAGTAAAGGGCTACTGCATATGCAACAGGGCTTCTACTGTTACAATGTCCACCTTGTGAGGAAACAAACATAAAAACAAATGAGCATTTTGCACAATATGCCCTGCCTCCCTTCATTGGTTACCTGTGCAATTTAAGGCTTCCACATAAGAAGAGCAACTAGGAACTTAATTACAATATTAAATATGCAGCTAAAATATGCTCATAAGAATTATCCAAAGAGCATCAACATTTTTATGAAGTAATAGCTTACATATTAGAGAAATAGTACAACTAAAATATTAAAACTGACAATGACATGAAAACACAGGGCTAATCCCGAATCTGATCTACTGATTAGAATACTACAATTACCTTAAATATGGCTCTTGCACACTGCATCTGAAGCTCTTCATGTTTGCTACTCAGATTTTTCACAAGGTTCTCGATCATTCCTTCTGTCCTTATTGCAAGTCTGTAACTTGGCTAAAAACATAAACGGCATCTTTTACATCCTCTATATCGACACTTAATAACACTAGCCACAAGAATAATGCAATCCTACAATTCTAGGCTTTGATATTGAGAAGCCTTGTACTTTATTTTAAGCCCAAGTCATCTGCATTGCCTTGAAAATACTACTGATGTTCTCAAAGCTAATCAAATACATAAATGCCCTGCAGTGCTTTTCAAATCACTTGTTAAACCAGGTGCTGCAATGCCTATTTTGCAGCCACGCTGCTTAAACAGAATTCAGAATATTCTGAAAGGTATCCAGACTCTCTGCTCAGAGCCAAGGAAGAAACATTGCTTCAGAATGGAAAATCAAGAAGTACCTTCTTTCTTTATCAAGAGCCAGCAGTCAAAACAACAGATCTGTTCCTTGAACAAGGCTAGAAAAATATGTTTTTGGAATTCAAATTTGTAGTAATTTTTTCTTCCGAATTATAACCCACAGGCATTCTAACAGGGGACTACTATTTAAAAGGGAGGAAACATCTATGTAAGAGATGTATTTAGCGTTATTTCCAAATCTGGCCAGATTAGGAACCCTCAAAAACTTCATTGTCTCAATACCGATCTACTGAATCTAAAATCTGCCAGGTTGCTGCTTCATGGAGCATGCATAAACTTGTGTATTTCAAGAGCCTAATTTTGAAAATATGAAGTGTTTTATAATGCAAAATCTTTTGAAAAATTGTGCCTCTCATGTTTCAAATTTACCAAGAGAACTTAAGTATATTTTTGTATGTTCTTTTTGTATGTATTTTGTGATGTTCTTAAGAAGACTTGGATCACATAAAGCATCTACTTCCTGATGGGATAATCGTAGAATCATAGAATCACAGAATGCTAGGTATTGGAAGGGACCTCGAAAGATCATCTAGTCCAACCCCCTGCCAGAGCAGGATCACATAGGGCAGGTCACACAGGAACACGTCCAGGTGGGTTTTGACAGTCTCCAGAAAAGGAGACTCCACAACCTCCCTGAGCAGCCTGTGCCAGGGCTCTGTCACCCTCACAGTAAAGAGGTTTCTCCTCATGCTGAGGTGGAACTTCCCGTGTTCTAACTTAAACCCATTATTTCTTGTTCTGTTGCTGGGCATCACTTGAAAAGAGGTTGTCTTGCTCCCCTTGACACCCACCCCTCAGATATTTCTATACGTTAATAAGGTCCCCTCCCAGCCGTCTCCTTTCAAGGCTAAACATCCCCAGGTCTCTCAGTCTCCCTTCACAGGAGAGACGTTCAAGTCCCTTGATCATCCTCGTAGCTCCCCACTGGACTGTCTCCAGTAGGTCTCTGTCTCTCTTGAACTGGGGAGCCCAAAACTGGACACAGCATTCCAGGTGTGGTCTCACACTGCCCTGGTGTAAGTGACAGTCAAACATAATGCCTCCTTTTAGTAGCCAATGGTTTTAATGGTGAGAAATAACTGTTTACTTACCTCTGAGGCACATTCTTGCAGTGTCCCCACCACTGGGATTAAGATGTTTGTATGGGAACATCTGAGCCATCTAGCTAATAACGGAATGCCGCCAGCTTTACGGATTGCTTCTTTATTTTTGGTGCTTTTGCTGCAGCTCCAGAGAGCCAAAGCTCCACAGCGTGCTAGCTCAGTATCGTTTGCTTGGTATGGTGAGAGACTGGCTGACCCCACTGAATTACATTCCAACAGTCCAACCTAAAAAACACAATTTTTGAATTATCTACAGGGAAGTTTGATATTATACTGCTTTTTAATTATGGTAAATACTACCACAAGAATCCTGTATACAATGTATTATGTATTTTTTGGACAAAAACATGCATATGATAAGGGTACACATTTTCATGTCTGCTTACCAATCTCTTGATTCCTCCATGCTGCCGTACTGTCCTTCGTGCTTGTTTAAATCTAGCAACATTAGCAATCGTTTCAGCTGCCAAAGATTTTAGATCTTGATCTGGAGAGTCCAGTACTTTCACCATGAGCTCTAATCCCCCAAGATCTTCAATTGCATGTCTGATCATAGTATTTTGACTAATTTCCTTCAGGATTTTTAATGAACCAATCTAAATAATGAAAGATAACAGAAGTTAACTATTATCTAAGTATACATAAGCAGAAAAAATATTTAAAAGGCTGGATTATCTAAAACATTTTATCTTTTAAATTGAATCATTAGAGACAAAAAACTGAAAGACAACAAAAAAAAGAAATCAATTTCCTTTTATTACTTAACTTTGAAATTTTTGAAAAAATATTCTAATTGAAAAAGCATATTAATTGTTCTATTCAACAAAGCTACTTACCTGACATCTAATTTCTTCTGTATCAAGTAAATTAATTAACACATCAAGACACCCAAAGTCTCTGATGGCCAGCTGACAAGCTTCTTGAGCCAGATTTAAATCTCTCATAGCACACAATGCGATTACAGTAGCTGTTGGATCACCATACTAAAATAAAATAATTGAGAAATGTGTGAAGTGCATTTACTATAAAACTTAAATCTCTTCTACTAGTACCAGTAAAACTACTACTAAAGAAGAAATATGTTGGATTGTTTGGATTCTATGGTGTTAAATAGTGCAGACAGTAAGAAATTGAAGTACTGGCAATACTGCAAATAGCATAAGGATTAATTTGAAAGTGAATAGCACAAGTGACAAACTACTAGTATGACTTGCTGTGAATGGAACAGTAAGCAGTCGAGTACTGTGAGGTTTGCAGATAGCAAAAGAACACACAGTGAAGATGCAGACATTTCAGAGAAGCTATGTGCATTCTTTGCATCACTATTCACTCTGAAAGAAACCAAAGAGACAAAGAGATTCCAATGAGAATCTTCTACTGTGGACATTTCAGAGGATTTTTCTGAAACTGAAGTTGCTGTAGAAAATTTTTATTAAAACACTGCTGACATTGTAAACAATAACAAATTGCCATTATTAGATAGTATTCAACTGAGTTGTAAAGGACACGGGGTAAAATAGTTGATTCGGTAGGAGGGGCACGTATCATCCTGCTTCAAAATTCCCTGTTATGTCCTAGGAAATGAAAAATGTGATGTCAGCTCTGAAAACAGTTCAAAGGTTATCCATGGCCTCTTAGGCAAATATCTGTGCTGGATCAATTGGTAGACTGTAATAAAGAACAGAATTAGCAGACATCTGTCTAAATATGATTTTCTTGCAACAATATGATATACTTAGAGACACCATGGATCCGTTATGAGGAGTCCTACCTTACAAAACTTACCAAGCTTGCAGCAATGGCGATCTAGGTGCTAAGCCTAGCTCAGGTTTTGACAAAATCCCTCCCTGATAGCTTTTAAAGAAACTAAGCCACTATATTAGAAGATGAAGGGTCGCTGCATGGATTGAAAAGAATGACTAAAGGATGGGAAACTGAGGACAAAAGCAAACTGTTGGTTCAATAAAGGAATGTTCCATGGATCTGTCTTGAAGTTATACAATTCAACATAAACTCCAAAATATGGAAGGACTAGTTATGTGACAAAGTTTGCTGATGATATTATGACCAGGGCTAGTTGTGACAAACTACTAAAGAACTTAGTAAGAGAGCAATAACAGAGCAAATGAGAAAATGAGAAATTATGTACATTAAAGCAACAATTCTAACTCCACAGATGAAATTGCCTTTTTTTTATCTGACCATTAAAAATCCAAAATGATATCTTGATATTAGGGTAGATTGCAATCAAAATCCAAAGGAAAAATAGGATTTATTTGGAATAGTGAACAGAGATTGTCACTATACCACAATATAAATCCATGGTTCACATACACCTTAAAAACTTTATGGAGTTCCACAATCTCACTTGAGGAAGTTTACTACAGCACTGGAAAACTTTCAGAGAGGAGCAGCAAAGATAATTAAATGTTCTTTTTAGTCTAGAAGAGAGATGCCTGAAGGGATACAACACTGATCTACAATGTCAGGGATGGCATTGAGCATGATAGGGATTGACTCTCCTGTGTCTCTTAATACAGATATAAACTCTTTTAATATAATCTCTTTTAATATGAGGTATAATACAATTCAAGTTAAAAACAAATAAAGGGAGTTGGTTCTTCAAATGACGTAACAGACTAGTGGAACTAGTTGTGAAAGGATTCTGTCACAGTTTTAACTGAATGTCAGTAAAATCGTAAATATCTCGTTCAATTTTCAACTCCTTCAGCTAAAAACAGGTGGTGGCTTGGAGAGTATTAGACAGTTGTGTGTTTGCCCTGTTCTTACTTGACCCTGGACATTCACTTACGGTCCTGGGTTTCTCCTGCCTTGGTAGAATATGAACAGAGTATCATACCACTGTAAATTATTCAGTTGTGCTTCCCACAATTTTGGAAATCAGAGGTCAGGACATTTGGAGGGCAGATGAGCTTTAGCCACAGAAAACATCCACCCTGATCACTGCGTCTCCCCTCCTGTTGCAGTCAGGTTATTGGGATACCTTGTCTTTTGAGTCTATATTTCAGGTCATACCCTTAGAGTAACGAAAACAGGATATAGCTCAATCTAAGAGTTCTATCCTGGAAATTAGAGCATATAAAAAGACTTGGGATGTTGATAACATTTGATTAAAAGGATGAATTTTGGGATGTACAATTGAAAGTCCTGGACAGAAATATAGGTATTCTCTATTTTTAGGTACTTGTACAAATACTACTGAAAGTCTGCACCTAATTTTCCGTGTTACAGTTCTAGGAAGAAAGTGAACATATGGAGATGATTCAGAGAAGAGAAATAAAAATGATTGTAAGCCTGGAAAATAGATGCATTGATAGGCATGAGAAGCACTATTTAGTTTATTTAAAGTAAATTAAGGTCGGATTTATTCACAGTGAAGAAACAAATGGGAACACGATCACAGAGCGCTCTGCAGTCTAGCACAGAGGTTTGACAATTTGAAGTTAAAGGTACTGAAAATTAGATGAGGAGAAAAGTGTAAGTTTTTCACTGTGCAGTTAATTATCCGTTGGAAGAAACTACTTAGGAGTGGTGATAAGTTCTCCAGCAGTGGAATTTTTTCAGCCAAGACTGGATGCTTTTCTAAAAGATAAGCCCTATTTCAGTTACAGTTACTACACTAAAAGCAAGAGGAAGATCAAAGAATACAGGCTGTGGTATGCAGAAAATTAAACCTCATGATAACAGTGGATTCTTTTGAACCTATAATACAGATTCACTATTAACAAAACCAGGGATGAGCCCAGCTGCACAGAAATTTGGAGGGCTGAACTACCATGCAGCTGCAACAGGAGCTGGAGTGCCCAAGCAACGCCAGCTGGTGCTAATGGGGAAGTTACAACTCAGAGCACCTACTAAATCAAACCACAGTATCCACCTTCCACATGCCCCTGAATTCCAGGGAAGCTTTGGCTCCCATCCAGATCTCAGCTGTGCTGCCCAAGCCCATCTCTTCCACATGACAGTTTTCAAACTGCAAAGCACTTTGAGCCAACCCTTTCCAGAGGAAAATATTGAAAAACGGGGCAATATTTGCTAATATGAAATAAGTGGATCTTGACAAAACCACAACTTTTGTAGCATATTTCTTAAATGCAAAGAGAAACATTAAGGCGAATAGAGTAGAAAAGTCTTTAACATGCTCTTCAACAGATACCATAAATGTAGTAAGGAATTGTGAATGACAAAATATATCCAAAAAGGAATGAGAAAAATACTTCATAATGTTTTAGCTCAGGAACTTATATCAGACAAAACACTTCTATTAATCAATAAAGTGTATATGGATGGCGCTTCATGGATAATTTTTACTTAAACTCTGAGAATAGATATCCATAGAATTTCCTCAGAGAAAACTGGTTAAATACAAAGGTAATTTTTAATCTCTGTAACATACAGCGCCCTAAATGACATTTCCTGCATTTTTTCAGGTTATCTTGTTTTAATCTTCATTATCATCCTGACCTTAGAAGAAAATGAAATGCATCTTGCCTTAAAAACATATGTTGGTGTATTTTGACATTCTAGGGCATAAAGTATTTTAACAATTTCTGCAATGTTCTCCTAGAGAAATCAGTTTATCCACACTTATCGAAGTCTAAATGATTTGCTGAAAATCCACGATATGATTCCAAAATGGCACAGAATATTCTGCAGCTCAAAAGGGCTAACTTTTAGAAGTTTGTGGTCTTCTCACACAGCTTAGACTTTGAGATTTACTTCACTTTGCCTTATAAAAATTTTGCAACAGGTGTTTAAAGAGAAAATCTGTCTTTTTATTATTTTACATAAATGGAAGAAGTATACTGCTAACCTGACAATGATGTCTCTTCGAGTAGCGCTTCTCCTGCAGTGAATCTACACTTATACATAATAATTCATAATTTGCTTATCTTAGATGTATAATTGTTGACATATGAAATTTAATATGGACCAGATTTTTAAAAAATAAACAACTTTTAAGTCTTATATTAAATAAAAATAGAACTATATATAAAATATATATATGCATGTTATTATTTTGGCTTCAAAAATGCACACACCACTTCAAGTGTTTTTAAAGTAAAACCACAATAAAATATTTTTCATCTGTGCTGAAGCATCAGTTCTACAAAATAAGAAATATTACTGATGGTTTCAACAATTACTTTTTTGTTTCTTGAAGTTAACATTACAGTAAGTCTTGCAGTACTTACAGCATAGGCTTTAACATGCATGGAAATAGTTACTTCTCCATTAACTTGATATAAAATCTGCATCATGTTTTTGCACCATTTGAAATCTGATATGTTAGATGCAAAATAAAATCTACTGGCAGATCAACAATCAATTTTAAGGCTTGAAATTAAACACAGATTTAGTTTAAAATGTGCCTCTCTTCCTACATGTTGGTATAATGTATATATGCACAAATTAAATTAAAATAAAACAGCATCACTGCAACATTATCAGTGAAACATCTTCTGTGCAATGTTTGTATAATGTCTCTGTTATGATACTCAGAGCTCACAACTGAGAATTACAGAACTATAAAGAATGTGTTGCAAAGCCTGCCTTTCTTTCGCTTTTATTTTTAAGGCGTTCGGCAGACCACTCTTATAATACAATAATGCACAGATTAATCTAGTTAAAATTTTAATGTACGTATACAAAGGCAGCTGGTTTAGATGATGATAGGATTGTATATAAACGTGGTACCCTTGTGTCTAATTTCACAGGTTTGGTTGCCACCCTACTAGAAGCATCTTTATTTGGCAACGTTCCTCCAGACAGGACTACATACATCAGTTTGTCCATTCTGGATGCACAGCAAGATGGTAGGTGTGTAAACTTCTGGCTGCTCTAGGCCACCTTTTCACTGGCCTGCTTAGTGGCCTGTCTTTCTCCATTTAAAAATCCTTGGGACTTCAGAAATTCTTCCTTATGACCTAAAGGAATGCTGGATACTGCTTCTGAAGTATCTAAATACCTTCTGACACCTTTCTGGCAGAGACTTCTTGAAATACAGCCTGCCTGACACACACTGCTCAAATTTCTAGTGAAAGATGTCCCAGCCTATGGCAGAGCTGTTGCAACAAGAGGATCTTTAAAGGTTTCCTCCAACTCAAAGCATTATAATCTCGAGTTATGGTGGCTCCTCAACTACAGCAGTGGTAGAAAATAGCTACTCACTTAATTACTGGTGCTAATATTTCATAAAATTAGTATTTAAAGTCAGCCTAGGGCTTCTTAAACCAAAAGAGAGTTCCAGTGGGAAGAAAAAAAACTAAATTAGCTATAGGGGCATTTTTTAATATTCTTAAGCATTTCACTTTCTTCTCTCTAAGTTTGTTAAATGAATTTTACAGTGAAAAGAACTGCAAAGATGGCTTTGTGCTTATTTTGCATCCATTACCTCCTAAAGCAGCTCAAATCATCTTGACTCCCAACGTAAGTCTGGGCACTTTGAAGGCTGCTTGTCCAGGATGTTGCACAGGTACAACAATATTTTTAAGTGGCCATATCAAACAGTAATTAAATAAAAGCTAGCAGGAGGTGGGAAATTAATCCACTGTTGTTTTGTATATTCAGGAAACCAGAATACATGATGTAATGGGAAGGAATGAAAGAAAGGAAGCTCAGAACAGTCATTCGTGCCTTTAAAAAAATTACATGAGTATAAAAGCAAAAATCTCCACTGAGGATAAAGAACAGAAAGTGCAGAAATAGATTAATCAGGCAAAACCATGAGCTCTTTGGTTGGCTGAAACTCAGGAAGCACACATAGAGAGTGGACGAGATCAAATAACTGAGAATTACAATAAAAGAGTAACACAAGCATCAAAGGACACAAACTAAGATATAACTACCAAGGCACACACAAGTAAAAACCATCATTTTGTTTGATACTTCCATAATAATCAAGAGGAAAAAACCTGTCAGTTGACAGCAAGCTTTCAACAGATTGCTGCCGAGAAATCTAAAAGCACCAATAGTCTTCTTTATGCATTAGTCTTTACTATGTTCTAGTAATGTACATATCATGTCAATGACAGCATAATAAACGCTCTGCTTATCCTAAGGACATAGAACTGGTCAGTAGGTACTCATAACTTAGATGGTTTTGTACTAGCTGAGCTTAATGGAATGATGAACTGGCAGACGCCAAAGACCATGGCTGGGTTGCAGAACTGCAGAAAAAATATGTGTTAACAATGAAACACAACATAAATATTTGTCCAGAAGACACACAAAAAACTGATGCTGTTTTGGAGGCAAGCAAATGGAGTAAATGATGTCCTGCATTCTCCTCTAGCTCCATTTTCTTTTTCCTTTTTTTTTTGTGAACTTTTATTACCATGACATTTCATAAATTTTAAATGGTTTTAAATAGAAATTTCCTTCTCTTAATAAAAAATGATTGATCCATAAGAGACCATATATACAGTTGATATTAAAATATACAGGTTTAAGTTTTCAATATCACACATCCCATCCTGATTAAAATCCTTTCAGGCCAATCCAAAACTTTAAACTTTGAAACTATCATCCCCTGTGTACCAGTATAGGTTGGGGACTGGTTTCTCAGAGAGCAGTGTAGGGGAAAGGGACCTGGGGGTTCTGGTGGCCAGCAGGATGCCCATGAGCCAGCACTGTGCCCTCGTGGCCAAGAAGGCCAATGGCATCCTGGGGTGTATTAGAAGGGGAGTAGCTAGTAGGTCAAGAGAGGTCCTCCTGCCCCTCTACTCTGCCCTGGTGAGGCCACATCTGGAATATTGTGTCCAGTTCTGGGCCCCTCAGCTCAAGAGAGACAGGGAACTGCTGGAGAGAGTCCAGCGCAGAGCCACAAAGATAATGAAGGGAGTGGAACATCTCCCTTATGAGGAAGGGCTGAAGGAGCTGGGTCTCTCTAGTTTGGAGAAGAGAAGGCCGAGGGATGACCTCATTAATGTTTATAAATATGTCAAGGGTGAGTGTCAGGAGGACGGTGCCAGGCTCTTCTCAGTGATGTCCAATGACAGGACAAGGGGCAATGGCTGCAAGCTGGAGCACAGGAGGTTCCACAAAAATATGAGAAAAAACTTTTTCACTGTGAGGGTGACAGAGCCCTGGCACAGGCTGTCCAGGAGTCTCTTTCTCTGGAGACATTAAAAACTCGCCTGGACACGTTCCTGTGTGACCTACTGCAGGTGATCCTGCTCTGGCAGGGGGGCTGGACTAGATGACCACCCTAAAGTAGAGACCTGTATCAGAGTTTAGAATTGTCACAACTGATGCTACAGAAAGGACAGTTTTGAGAACGGCACTTTACCTGGACTCAGGATACCAGTGCTCCTTGAGTCCTCTGGCAAAAATCCTGTTTGCTAATGGCCTTGTGCCTTTTCCCAGTATCTTTGTTCCCCACTTTCAACTGAAACTCAAAAGCATTACTGACGTACAAGTAGTAAAAGTACTAACAAGGCTATGAAGATGGTTCCAAACGTGTTGCTGAATTTGTACTGAAATGCGCATAAATGCGGGGAAAAATATAAACATTAGGATAACACTTAGTGCATTTGAGTATCCTGAGAGAAAGCAAGATTAAATAAAATGAAAATTATATAGCTTTTGGCTCACAAACATCTCTATAAAAATGGTACCTATTTAGAGGGTTTTTAATTAATTGGATTTGTATTTAGAGTGAATGCAAGCAAAGATGAAATATTGTTTTACTTTGCATGGCAACGTCAAGGATTTTTTTTTTCTCTTTAGATCTATGTCTGAAATCTATTTTGCCATAGTAAAAGTTCATTTTATTTACTGTATTAAGTAAGTCCTGGATAAATATCTTAATTTGCATGTCTGTGGTGATAAGCCTAAGACTGAATAATGAACAAGAAAGAAAACTGCTGTTTGTGGGCAGTTTTGTCATTCTTAGATACAATAATATTGTACTTTTGATTTTGAGTATACATAATTTGAATGGCAATTACAACATACTCGACAAAATTAAGACTGATCATACCAAACCGCTGTATATTTTTTAATTATTGAACAAACAAAATAGTTTTATGTGATATCCAAATGAAAGTAGGTCAAATTATGGTAGGTCAAATTGTTATGCCAGTAATTATTTAATTAAAATCCTTTAATGGAATAAAAAACTCCTAAACAAAAACATTGTTTAGATGTAATCCCAGCCCAAAATTTTATTAAAATATTGCCATTTTCATACACAAGAATGCCAAAACAAGTAAAGTCTGAACCAGAATTTTTCATTTACACCTGTGTGACTTTTGGATGTTCTGTTGAACCTGACTGACTCTCTCAAATCACAGATCGTTCTGTAATTTTCTACTGGAAAGTGCTTCAATATTCAAATAAATTTTAATAAAGCTTAGTGAAAGACTGAGTATTGCAGTATAATATGTATAATATACTTCAGCAAGGCAATGTTTCTATGCTAGTGAACCTCTAAATGCTGCATTTTGTTTTGGTTTAAATACTAGTTCCAATTTTTCATTTTAGTTTATAAAACATACAAGCTGCAACTTGTTAAGAGATGAGTTATGGACAAGTATAACTGAGTTATGGAATAATTCCCTGCCCCATTTCCTGAACCTTCTGGCATTCTTTGGCTACAGCCTAGCAGTATGTAAACCACACAGATTAATATAACTAAAGCCAGTGGAAAATCACAGGCATCACAAAATCAGAAAATCTGAAACATTCACATTGGACTAAAACCATGCACAGAAGCTGCAGTTTTAGTTGCAGATTAATACCCTGACACTGACCCTTCACAGTGGCAGAAGTGACGTATATGTTACGACCCAGACACAGTGAATTTAAATAGCCACCATATTTTATAAAATTGAAAAGAAATGAGTTTCTGAACAAAAGAGTAAGTCTATTTTTTTCTGAGTGAACCAGAAAGTTTTGTTAGGGAACTGTTGATTCCTTCTTCAAAACTCTCCCAAGACATGTATCCATTCTGTTAGCTTTCCTTTTCTGACTCATAGTAATTGGATTCTGCTACAGAGCAGGCAAGAGTCAACGTAGTTCATGCACAAACATACAAACTTTTATTTCCTTTGACTAGAAATAGTAGAATGTTATTCCCAGGAACTTCTCAAACCTCAAACTTGAAGAGAAGCGAAATGCCGACCCAAAATCCACAGAAAACCTGGCCAAGATAATATATAATACCTTAACATTGCAAGTTTATTGTCTTCTCGTTGTGAAATTTTCAATTTAGGAGAATAGTTATTCCCCAGTTCCATCTGGACAACTTTGTAAAGACAATGGACTACCCTCTTTTCAATCCTACATAAATTTGTAGAGAAAAGTAAAAAGACCGTAATGTCCACAACAAACCTACAAACCTGATGTGATTTCTAGATCAGATCACTGCAACAGATGTTAATTTGGGATTTAATCTAATCGATCCATCAGAAACTACTGTTTAGAGACTGTCTTAGATTGTCTTCAACTCACACCATAGCCTCCCAATGGTACTCCAGCATGAACAAACTCAGCGTCAGCAACCATTCTAGGCTCTTTCAGTACAAGCAAATTGGTTTACTTACTGCACAAACCATGACTTTCCACCATTCTCTGTAAGGGAAGCCACACTCCTTTGCACCACCTCATCTCTCCAGCAGTACACTGCTTTCAGCTGCTACTATCACTAACACAGACGGAGTCCCCGAGCAGGTGATCTTCCTCAGCATCCTCAATGGCAGGGCCTTGGTTCTGAGAGTGACAGGCCAC